TTTTTGTATGATTTATAGTTGTGAATTTATTTTCGCATTTTGTTCCTGTATTATTTTCTTGAATTCTTTCATTTTTTTGTATGTATTTTCCATGACTTTGTCAGCCTTTTCTGTGAATTTGTCTATTTTTTCCTCATTTTTGTCTGCTTTTTGCTTCAACTCTTGGATAAGTCTGAATATTAGCGATTTGAATTCCCTATCAGTTAGGCCTAGTGCCTTTTCTTCTATTGGAAGGTTATTTTTTCAAATTTTTATGAAAATAATGCATGCTCCTGAAAAGTCAAATAGTAGGATAAGGCTTAATGAGGAAATTCTGCAGCTTACCCTTCTTGAAGGACAACTACTTTTGGTTCTTTTGCATTTTTCTGGTATTTGTCTTCCTGTTTTAAAATAACATGCTTATATTGCCACTTCTTTATTTTTCAATTTTAGACATTATTTGTAAGGCTGTATAGTATAGTGCTGTGGTTTTCAAAGTTGGTCTGAAAACCCCTGGGGTTCCCTGAATCCCTCTCAGCAGGTCCATGAGGTCAAAGCTATTTTTGTAACAATGCTAAGACGTTATTTGCCTTTATTCACTGCTTTGATCTTTGCGCACTCATGGTACAGAAGTAACGGTGGATAAAAAGACTTTTCGGGACTTTAGCATGAATCAAGACAGTGACACCAAGCTATGGTTGTATTTTTCACTGCCATGCATTCAGAATAAAAATAACAGTAATAGTAACACCAGTTTTACTTAAGAATATCCTTGATAAAGCAATAAAAATTACAAATTTTATTAAATCTCCACCTGTGCTGAAATAGGAAGTGTGCATAAGACAATGCAGAAGTGCATGGAGAAGTGTGATTTTTGTTGCGATGAAAATCATGTGTGTCATTGGTTGAGCTGCTTGCTGAACTCAAAAAATACGAAACGTTGCCGTCGAGTCGATTCTGACTCAAAGCAACCATATAGGACTGAGTAGAATTGCCCTATAGAGTTTCCAAGGAGCAGCTGGTGGATTCAAATTGCTGACCTTTTGGTTAGCAGCCAAACTCTTAACCACTACGCCACCAGGGCTCCGCTTGGTGAACTAGCCACCCCCCTTTTTTTTTTTCCATGAACATCAGTTTTACTTGAAAGAATGACAGATGGACAAATGATGGCTATTCAGACTTGAGAATTTGACAGATATTTTCACAAAAATGAGCTAGGGAAACCTGTCACTTCAAGGAAAGAAACTAAATATTTCTTACTAATGATAAAATTTTAATTGTCAAGATAAAATTAGAATTTTGGAAAAGCATGTGTCTTAGTTTGCTAGTGGTGCTGTAACAAACACGGTAAGTGTGTGACTTTAAAAGACAGAAATTTATTTTCTCACAGTTTAGGAGGCTAGACATCCGAATTTAGGGCACTGGCTTTAATGGAAGTCTGTCTATTGGCTCTGGGGGAAGATCCTTCTCTTTCAATTTCTGTAGTTCTAGCATTCCTCGATCCCTTGACAGTCTCTGCTGGCATCTATCCTCCCTCTCTGCTGGCATCTATCCTCCCTCCATCTGTGCTCCTTTCTGTGTCAGATCTGCTCTTTTTATAACCCAGAAGTGATTAGGTTTAGGACACACCCTGCCCTGATACAGCCTCATTAACAACAAACAAAACCCTGTTCCCAAATGGGATTACATTCACAGGTATAGACGTTAGGATTTCAAGACATATTTTGGAAGGGCACAATTCAGTCCATAATAGCTTATGTTCACTACTGTGAGCTTGACAATAATAGACTTTTCAGGTAGATCAGTAGGGGTGTAAATGAATGTGATGTTTG